CACTATGGGGTAAGATGTGGAAAGGCAAAGGAGAAAAATGGTGGATCTCCTTTTCCATGAAATTGAAGAAGAAGAGCCAGAAGTGGAGGATGTCCTTTGAACCTTGAAATCCTATGTATTGAAACTCCTTGACTCAAGGACAGAAAGCTCTGGTACCAGAGGAGTGGCAGAGAAGCAATAGCAGAACAAAGAACCAGAACACAAGACAGAGTTCTGGGCTTCCCAGCCCATGGAGTTAAGTAAAATTGAGTGACTTTGGGCTGTGTTTTACTTAGAGAGAGCTATATTCTTGTGTCCTGAAGACTATGTTCAAAATAATTTCTTCCATATAGCTATTATAACTCATTAATTGAGCATATAAAGTACATAAACAAAGCTTTCTGCATTTTCCATTTGTTTGATGGTTTTTGTTAGAGGCAGGATAATTATGATTTAAAGCATAGAACAATAATTGGCAGACCCCTCCCCCACCCCCCCAAAAAACTGTTTCCTATCTACCAGCCCAGTTTCCGTCATTCTATATCAACTATACTTCACATTGATTTGGACTATGTGTAACCAAGAAAGAGTTAGTTAGTTATACATTTGGATTCTGAATAAGAGAAATTTCTTACTATTATATTATAAGGCATTCCAAACTGCCTGTAAGATTGAAGAATGTATTATTACCCAGTTATTGGGAAAATGACTCTCAGAAATTGCTCCATTGGCTGCATCCTCTTGGGATTTGCTTAGGGCTGAAGAGAGCCTCTTCATTCAAACTCATAGCCCTTTTCCAGGCAGGCTGCATTAATGACTGAACAGAATGGGGATATAAAGGCTCAGTCCTTGGCCCAACTAGGACAACACTGAAGGCTCATCCCAGCTTCAGAACACCCTGTAGGTTGGCTGAGGTTTTTGCCTCAGCCACCAACCTCTCATGGTTCAACCTGACCTTGTGGCCCAGTGCTTTATCCTACAAGGACACACCAGGACTCCAGGAGTATCCCTGTTGTTGTTTTTGTTAAGTGCCGTCAAGTCACTTCCGACCCATAGTGACCCTGTATAGGGTTTCCAAGGAACATCTGGTAGGTTTGAACTGCTGACCTTTCACTTAGCTTGAACCACTGACCATGTGGTTCAAATTGACTTTAAAATCCAGTGTATCAACCCCCAGCACCACACCCGGACTCAAGTAATATCTTGCAGCCCCAAATTTTCAGGTAGCAGGCTGTTGTTAAGTGCCATTGAGTTGGTTACTATTCATAGTAACCCTGTATAGGGTTTCCAAGGAACATCTGGTAGGTTTTAACTGCTGACCTTTCACTTAACAGTCAAGTGTTTAAAATCCTTAAAGAGTTTAAGCCTCAAATAAGATTGCCAACAATCAAAGTACTCTCTCTGATAGGGTCACTTTCTCATACCTGCTCTACAAAAGGAGTCCTGATGTGGCACTGTAGGATACGCCTTGGACCATAAGGTCAGTTTGAACCACAGGTCCAGTGGTTCAAACTCATCAGTTGCTCCTCAGAAACCCAATACAGGAGAGCTATGAGTCAGAACAGAGTCGACAGTACTTAACAACAAGACCCAGCAAAAGGAATGCAGTAATTCTGTAGGGTAAGTGATGGTGGTGGTTATGTGCCGTGGAGTCAGAACTGACTCATAGCAACCCTGTACAGGATTTCCAGGGCTGTAAATCTTTACAGGAGCGGAAAGCCTCATCTTTCTCCAATGGAACAGCTGGTAGTTTCAAACTGCTGACCTTAAGGTTCACAGCCCGATTCATAACCACTTCTAGACTGTAAACCATAAGGTCCACAGTTTGAGACCACCAACCACTCTGCAAGAGAAAGATGAGGCTTTCCACTTCTGCAGAGGTTTACAGCTTAGGAAACCCTATACAGAGTCTCTATGAGTTGGAACCAACTCGATGGCACTCAGCAATAACAACCCTACAAAAGGTGAATTATCTAAGTAACCACTGGAAACTAGTACCTCCTTCTTCACTTCCCTACCCTGAATATCCAGAAGAATTCTTCTGACCTTTGTAAGGATTGGTGAAAGGAAGAGCCTTTCACTGAGGTTGACATTGCATAAGTTATGCCTTTCTCCATTAAGGTCTACTCCCTCACATAAATGCAATTTATCTTGTGCCTTCATGCTTAACAGATGGAGACCCATATAGACCCTCTCCTTGCACAACAGGGATAACCACAGAGATGATTCTGCTTAGTCTTAGTTGTAGGTTTTTAGAAATGTTGGAGAAGTTAATGGCCATTCTGAGGTTGAAGATGATCCCCGAGATGAAGAGAGGTCATTGGGTAAGTCAGTAGAGTGATCACCATGGTACATCTAAGTGTTCTGAAGTCTCAAGCTGCCACTGGCCAGTCAGAGCTTATGACTCAGCTTGGGGCATGCCAATTATCTGATATGATGTCAAGGGTTTCTTCAGTGGTGCCACAACAACAAAAAGCTAAGTGGAACAGGATAAGGTCACCCATATCCTAGATAGAAAAGTTGCACCCAAGTCCAGCTTGATCTGGGACTAGTGGTTTTCTCCCCTGGCAGGAGGAATTGTACATTTTTTAGGACTCCCAGGTCTCCTGGAACTGGGCAGGCAGAGTTTCCAGAAACAGCTGCATCCCAGATACCCTGATTTCAGAATGGTCTGATTATCACCCAGAGTTATATCTAAGGAATGGCAGGGACATCACTAAGCAGTTTCTATAACTATCACAGTTCCCATCTGCACCTGTGAGAAATCACTCAGCTAGTTAAAATAAATGTTTTTATGCTTGAGAGCCTCCATGGGTAAAAGCAGATTATGTGATTTTGCTAAACTGAGTGGAGAGAGAGAAGAAACTGAAAAGTGACTTTGAGCACATCATAGACCAAATTTCATCAATGAAAGCAAGGAAGGTGAAGTTGTAAACCTGGCATATTGTTTTAAGTAAAAGGCTTGACTTGTATTTCTGACCTGGTGTTTTGGTAAAGTTACCAAAATGATGGGTGTCAGATGTTTGGACAGGGGCAAAATTTCAGTGTTTCCCATAGGTGCTATTTTTCATAGATGTGTCTCTGAGATGTCCCACAGTCCAGGGACTTACCTTGCCTTATAAAATGGGAGGTACTAAAGGAGCTCTGTCCACCTCTCTATGAAATGATGGGAGAATGTACTGTACCTTTCCTCCTCTTGTGCTCCTGGACTCAGAAAGCTCCCCTGCCCCCAATAGAGTCTGCTTCTTAACCCAAACTATATGACATTTTGAAACTCATCCTGGACCCTATTATATAACAAGTGAAGGCCCAGATGGGAACCCCTTTGTTCCACAGAAGGTCATCTAATACTTCTCATAGCTTATATTTCTCATAGCTTATACTGATACTTCTTGTAGCTTATACTGATGTGTAATGTGTAAAGCACATTAACATGCATTAGCTCAGTGAAACCCACACATTAGGGCTAGAGAAGTTAGCAAAGGATATCTTAAGTAACCAGTGTGCTTCATAAAGAAAAGTTAGGATGCAAGAACAGATTAAAAAAGTGTTTTCTTTCCAGATTTGCAAAATATCTTACAAAGGCATAGAATCTGAATCACATTTATGTACACATTAATGACTAACCTTTTTTTAACAGAATAAAATTATATGATATTTGAGCAAACATGGTCAGCATAATTATGGACATGAAATAAACCTTGCAGCTTATTTTTTAAATTTCCCATAATGAAAGTCTTAAGGAGGGAAAGATCAAATGTTCAGAAGTTAAGACTAATACGAGGAGATTGTAGAAAAAGAGTTAGTAGTCAGGAGAAAATGTTTCATATCAAAGAATGTACACGTCTATGATTGTGATTTTCAAAGCAAGGTAGGATGTTCCATATAGTCTACAAATGAAAGGCAACTTTATAAATGTTCTCTAATACATGATATGATATATCCACACAGAATATAAGCCATTCCTGAAGAAGACTGTATGAATATGTTTTTACTCTTCTGAATTGTTAGGTCTGCCCCACATTCCTTGGAAAATATGAACATCATTTCAATGAAATTATCCATTTAAAAGACACATGTTCATCAGAGACCTAAAAGGTGCTATGCTTTGGCTAGGAGCCAACTACAAATAACATATAGATTAAGAAACAGATCAACTAGTGACTACACACAATAGTGTGTGATGGATGAAGACAATGGAGTTTCCAATTTGGCACTTTGAAAATTTTGGTAATGGATGATTAATCTGAGAATTATCCAATGTCTGTATTTTTTTTCTGCTTACACTGCCTGCATGTAACTGCATCTATTGCTAGGCCATTACTCCACTGAATCAATTCTAGTATTTTAAAAGACTTAATTAAAATAAAAAATTAAATGAATAAATCTTAAAATTAAAGATAAATTGATTTTCATGGAATCACTGACCTATAAAAATAGAAGGCAACCCAGAAACTGACTACCCCACCTACACAGTATAAAAATCACTTTCCCAAATCCTGACAACTAATCATACAAACTAGAAGTAGAGTTTTGTCTGTTACGTTTGTTTGCTCCATAGTGATTTACTTTAGTGCAAACACTGGGGCATACTGCACTCTGGGAAGTAACAATCCACAGGGTGCATTTCTGGAGCATGAAGATGCTTCTGGGAAAATTAGAAAATCTCATGCTACTTCTATCTAAGACTCTTGCCCTTATTCAGCATATGTTTTCTAGTTTTAATTTTAGTGAACTCTCAAATGGATTAGGTTAAATATTTTAAGCTTTATGCATAATTGCTACAGTAGGTAATTTGTGCCAGTGGTAACAGTAATATGAAATTATTATTAATGAAAATGAAGGATTATTTTTCAAAAATCAAATATCTAAACTCAGACTGATGTATGGTACATTCACCAGTGAATTTTATTTAATTGTCTATGTTTCCATGCTAAAAGACAACTATTACTTTGGTTATAATACTAAGGAAAATGTATGTGTCAATGCATAGTCTTATATTATACACTTGTTGAACATACCTGTAACCCTTCAATGGCCAGTTTGAGGATGGAAGGTGTTAATTTGGAGGCTTGTTTGAAGGAAAAATTACTCCAGTCTATAATTAAAATGAAACCATTTATCTGAAGTTCTGCATCTTCAATAAGGACTTCCAGTGATAGCAAGATGGCCCGCAGGATGTCTGTGAAGGAATTCCTATGGCCAGAGCAGAAAAGACAAGCTCTTTGTGAATACTTATAGGTGATAGCACATCCCATGTAATATCGCTAGTTTTCTCATGCACCTGCTTCTTGAGCCTAGACTTCAGAATAACACTGAGGGTATTGAGAACTAATGAAAATGCAATCCTTTGAGACTCACAGGATAGAAGCCTCCCTTTAGTCTGACCCCACTATCACATCCTGATGCGGCACTGTAGGATAAACACTGGACTGTAAGGTCAATTTGAGTTACAAAACTAACAGTTCAAACTTATCAGCTGCTCCTTGGAAAACTTATACCATGTTGCTGTGAGCCAGAACCAATTCAAGAACACTTAACAAAAACAAACTATTACCACAAACTTAATGAGATGCTGTTCTCTGTATTCTCGTTGCTATCTCACTCAGCAACACCAGTTTCACTTTGTAGAAATGTCTTTCTGATGCCTATGTCTCACTCACAGGGCTATGTGATCTCTTAGGATTGGGACTGGACTATGTATGTTGTGTCCCAGTACCTGGGTGCACAATGAATCATTGATGGACAAATTAGATGAGATCTCAATCAAAGGCTATTTATTATTTGGATTAAAATACTTTTTTGTATTCTTAAAATTTGATAAAAGTGTAATAACATACATGTAATTGATGCTATTTTTTAAAAAAAAAAAACCTTTAATTCATATATAGGGAAGAATAAAGCATTCAAGAGAGTGATTTAAGAAGGAAATTTCTTGGAGTACATGGGTAACTATGACAACAGGCAGATGTGAATACAAACTAGAGCAATAGCTCTCTGATGTTGTATGTACTTCTCTATATCTTATATTCTATTCCCATTCACCAGCTTATTTTATTTTATATTTTTTAAGTTTTTATTGTGAATTATGTGGGTTTACATGGGAGAACATCAGCTTTACATTCATCCTATTGTGTTTCGTTTCATTACAATGATTACAATCCCCTCCATGCATCATCAAATAACCAAGGGGTACACCTCACAGGCCTGCCCTCCAGCCATCAGAACAAAGCCATTATCCCTCTCTGAGTCAAGTGTTTCTAGCTGCTCCATCTGTCCATGTCATCATCTCTGTCTCCATTCCTGGTGTCACTGCCTCTCTGGGTAGGGTCACACTCTCTGCTCTTCTCACTTGATGGTCCCAGGGACCTCTGCTCCTGGGCTGCAAAATCAATCACTCCCTTCTTTTTGTCAAAAAACATCTACTTCTACATTTCCGACCCTCACAGTCAGTCCTGGTAGCAATTATTCACTAGTATACCAAAAGAGTCTTATCTCCATTTCCTTTTGCCAGCCTAGTCCCAAAAGACTGGAAATCATTCAGTGGAGTCTAGCTTCCCCAGCCCCATCTGGAACTAGGCTCCCTCTTGAAAGCTTTTAAGCCAGTAGCTTCTTGCTTTTATAGCACCCCTCCCTCCATTTTGGGTAGCCAATGTCTAAGTTGCCCATCCCTGTCAACCCTGTATACCGAGGGGGTGAGAGTGATCCTCACTGTAAAGATTTGTTCCCTTTTTTGAGCTACTACATCCATAAGTATAGGTAAAGTTCATCAAATTGTAGCAGGTTACTCTTTTTTTTCTCCCCTCCCCCTTCTTTCTTTTTCTAGTCAAGTTCTGATCATTCAGCCATCGAAGCGAGGTCAACTGGATACTATCTACAAGTATGGGTGCTCTTGTCCATCTCCCCTCACATCATATCAGCTGGATGCTTCATGCTCCACTCTAGTCCTCTGTGGCCATGTCACTTCCTCTGGGCCCAGGAGCCCCTGGGTCTTGCCGTACTGCTGGCCATCCAGGACTTAGCTCCCAACTTCATTGATGTTTTTCCCCTCTCTTCCCCTTATCAGTGACCAATGTGGTCATCAACCAGACCACATGCCTGCTCATGTATTCCCCTTGAGTCTTAGCCTTGGAAGGGAGTTTGCTCTGAGGGGCCCGATCACTTGCTTTTATGGGTGAACAACTTACTTGTTTTTGTAGCAATCAATCAGACTGCCATTATTGTTTCTTATTTTTCCTGCCAATCTTTCTTTCACAAAGCATCTTCTGTTCTAGCTGATCCAGGCTGGTCTACTCATCCTTTCCAGTGGAAATTTCCCACCCGAGATGATTCTGGATGGGGTTCTGGATTCCATCTATGGTCTTATGCAATGCAAGGCTCTACATGAAGCCTCTTTCACTGGGCAACTTCTAGCCCCCTTTAAGGTATTCCAATCAGTTATAGGCTTAAGATGGCCTTACAAGCTTTCTATTATGATGTTTCTGGCTATACCTTTCTTCCCCCCTCAAGTATCTATTTTACAATGGTAGGCAAAAGAACCCAATATTCAAAAGACAGCAAAGCATCTTAACGTTATTCCTCTCTTTTACCCCTTCAAACCATGCCTCAATCCCTGTATCCCAGAGCACTGTACTTTCAAGGTTGTGCATACATCACCATTTACCTCTGTCCCACTTAGCCCATGAGAACTTGCCTAACTGCTCTCCTATCTGGCTTGTTCTTCCATTCCCCTCCCCCTTCTTGTGTATTTCCTCCCACCCCCCACTCCCACATCACCACCCAAGTTATCCAGTGTCTATTCCCTAAGCTGTGCTCTATCTTCCCCTCTCTCTCTTCTCTCATCTCATCTCATACATCCTGGTGATCAGCAAATATATATATATAGTCCCCCCCCCACCTTTTAGGGTTGGTTCTTTTCCTTAGTCTTTTACAATAATGGTCCTATGCAGTATTTCTCCTTTTGTGACTAACTAATTTCACTCAACATAATGTCCTCAAGGTTCATCCATGTTATGCGGTGGCTTGCAGCTTCCTTGTTGTTCTTCAAGGTAGCACAGAGTTTCATTGTGTGTATGTACCAGCTTGTTTATCCATTTTTCAATTGATGGGCACTTAGGCTGTTTCCATCTTTTTGCTATTGTAAATAGTGCTTATATGAACATTGGTGTGCATATATCTACTCGTGTTATGGTTCATATTTCTTGTGGGTAAATACCAAGTAGAAGGATTGCTGGATCATAAGGTATTTCTATTTTGAACCTTCTGAGGAAGCACCATATTACCTTCCAGAGTGCTTGGACCATTGTGCAATCCCACCAACAATGTAGGAGGGTCTGAGTGTCTCCACATCCTTGTTAACATTTATTGTCCTCTACTTTTTTGATCTTTGCTGTTATTGCTGGTGTGGGATGATATTTCATTATTTTGATCTGTAGCTCTCTAATGGCTAATGATTGTAAACATTTATTCATATGTTTCTTGGCTGCCAGAATCTCTGTAAGATAAATCTCTCAACATTAGTAAGATAAGAGAGCAAGCAGAAAAAAAGGATTAAAAAATCTAAAGCAGGCCTAAGATTCATGTTGGACAACATGAAGAGGAATAACAAGAATTATCAGCATTCTGGAAAAAGAAGAATCACACAAGTCCACAGAGGAGATAGTTGAAGAGCTTCTGGAAGAAAATATTCTTAACATCCTGAAAAATGAAAACATAAGCATTCAAGAAGCTCAACGAACCCCAGGAAGGATAGACCATAAAAGACAATCACCAAGACATATAATAATCAAGCTTTCCAAAAATCAAAGATGAGACAATCCTGAAAGCAGCTAGGGAAAATAGAAGTGTAACATACAAAGGCAAGCAAATCAAAGTAAGCTTGGATCCCTCAACAGAAACCATACAGGCAGGAAGGCAATGGGGAGACATTTATAAAAGCTTGAAAGAAAAAAAAAAAAAAAAACTGCCAACCAAGAATCCTCTACCCAGCAAAGTTGTCAATCAAATATGAAGGTGTAATCAAAACATTCCAGGATAAACAGAAGCTAAGGGATTTTGCCAAAGCCAACCCTGCTATGAAAAACATCTTAAAGGAAGTTCTGTGGTCTGAGAATGAACAAGAACAGACAACAACCAGAGATTGACATATGTGGCAGCATCACCCTGAACTCAATCATCAAGTGGAAGAGTCAAGAACAGACTAAAATGATAAGAACAGAGGATCTGGAAGGTCATTCTATAATCAAAACAATTGCAATGTGAAAGAAGGTTAAAAACATAGGAACAGAGATCCAGGTGGTGGGAAGATCAGGTAGATTGCAGCATAAAATAGACTGTCTTAAATGGAGGGAATAATTAATGGAATATAATTACATATACTAACAAGTGGGGTTGTGGTGGGGGATTTAGTTCGGATGATGGGGAGGTCAATACAAGAATGAGGAGGTGGTGGAAGAACAAGATAAATAGGGGAACACTGAGACAAGTTTGCATGGCCTAAGTGGGACAGAGGTAAGTAGTGATGCATGCTTAACCTTGAAACAACAGGGCTCTCTGATACACTGATCTAGGCATAGTTTGAAAAGGGGAACTAATACTAAAATGCTTGCCTGTCTTATGAATATTGGTTCCCCTTGCCTACTATTGTAAAATAGACACTTGAGTGGGTTAGAAAGGAATGTTGGGAAACATGATTACAGAAAACTTGTAAGCCCATCCTCAGCCTATAACTGATTGGAATACCTAAAATGGGTTCTAGAACTTGCCCAGTGAAATATGCCTCTTGAAAAGCCTTTGCAGAGTAAGGACCTTAGATGGAATCCTGAGTCCCATCCAGAACCTTATGAGGTGGGACATTTCAACTAGAAAGAACAAACAGACCAGCCTGGAACAGCTAGAGCAACAGAAGATACATCGTCAAAGAAAGATCATCAGGAAAAACCCAAAACAAAAATGTCAGCATGACTACAAGAATAAGCAAGCTGTTCGCCAGGAAGCCATCAAGTCAAACAATCAAGTTCCTTCAGGACAAACTCCCCTCTAAGACTGAAACTCAAAGGGAACACATGAACAAGCATGCAAGCTTGCTGGCGACCACATGGGTCTACTGGTGAGTGGAAGAGGAGGAAAGGCAGCAATGAAGAATTTGGCTGAGTTCAGCCACAGTCCATTGACTCTCATTGACCTGGAGATGAGCA